CTTCTTTTTTCTTTTCCTAAATTATTTAAAACTCTTTCTAGATTTATATATAGTTTATAAATAAAAAAATTCGATTAATTCATTATTATCTTTTTTTCTTATTCTTTTGAGATTCATTTTTATATAAAATAAGAAATTATCCAAATTTTGCTAAATGAATGAAAAGAACAATTTTTCGTAGAGGGAGATAATATAATTTAAAAATATTTTATTTTACAGGCTTTTAAGTGGTCAAACGAGGCTACATATGTGTTATTTCAACAAGTGATCATTATGGAAAACCAAAACCGGGATAGCGAAAATATTCGTTTAAATGCTCTTTAGAAACAAAATATTTTTCATTGTATCAACGATCGTATTAAGACTTATTTGAGTTGTAAACATCTAAAGAATCTTTTAAATTATACGAAGATGCAACACTGCATTTATAAGAAAGATTCAGAAACTCGAGAGTTTTTATCCAAAAAGTTTTCAGTTTATCCCACTTCTTGCTGAAGTTTTTTGGTTATTAAATCAAAACATGAAATGATAATTTATATTTTTCACAAAAAGTTATCTACAAATTATTATTAAAATAACAATTACAACATCTATAGTTTCTATTACCAAATATATTTTTATAAATATTTAAATTAACAGTCACAACATTTACAATCATAGTCTCTGCGGCCAAAAGTTTACAGCAAAAGTCTACAGTTAAATATTTAAAAAAGAGTTGCCAAGCACTCTTGTAATAGTTTTAGAAGTAACTACCTCATAGTAGAAAAAAAGTTTTAAAAAAAAACTACCTCACAGTAGAAAAAAAGATTACATTAGTTGAATCTGGTTCATATTGTAACAACATATCAAAAAGTGATGACTTTTTCCATAGCTTTAGAAGTAACTACCTCAAATAATCACTCTAAATAAATATATTGCCCAAGATGATGCAATTTTATTGTATAAAAAATAGTGAATTTGGTAACTGACAATAAGAAATGAACTAATTAAGAAAGTAGCAAAGAGAAAATTAGACTTAAGAAATTGACAAAAGGGTACCGAAAATGTTGAAGTGCAATAGCGTACAAACGCGTTTTCCATAACATGCGCGTGGGTTGAGTAGGAGAGGATTTTACACCAAAAAATAGGTTTTGGTGTAGGATTTGGTGTACCATTGGAGATGCTCTTACGAGCTACCGGGTTTCTCCTTCTCGCTTGTCACTAGCATTAAATGGGCTCGTAAAACGAAATAATTTTTGCGTGTGAATGTTTCACATCCAACTGTTCAGTTCTTTCTTTATTCCATCGCATCTCGTTTTCCTTTTTGTTCTTCTCTTTTTTCATATTAAAAATCGGCCAAACTTTATGTTTTTTCAACGATTTTTGGTAGGTGATCTTCCTTTACCCAGATGTTCGTTTCCCTTTTTGTGTGGTTAGTTTTTAGGGCGTGATTCGTTTGGTATGCGGAACCGTCCGATACTCCGATTTTTTTCACCGATTTTGTGGTACAAGATCTTTTTTTGCTCCGAATTCGTCTTTCCTTTTGTTTCTTTTTATTTTTGAATACACTAAAATTTTTAATTTTCGCGATTTTGGTTACTATGAATGTTCCTCTTTGGTGTATCCACTGTGACAAAAGGATCATGCATGTCAATGATTTTGTGCGTCTCGTCTTTTTTACAGATTTAAATTTTATATTCTCGTGTCTTAAGTATTTTGGGGCGCTACGTTTTATTTTACAGCTCTAATTTCTCATTTACGGGATTATCTCGAATATTTAATTGCTATGTAAAGTTTTACTTCGCTAAGTAATATTTTTACGGATCTATGTATTACCTTACGCTTCGTCTCAATATATGAGTTTTGGTACATGTTTGTTCATCTTTATGTTCGTACATGTTTGTCATCTTTATGTTCAATTTTTGATAATATTTTTCGATTTGTGTATAGAGACATGGATATGACCACCCTCCCTATCCTTGTTTTTGCAGGCAGAGAAGAAGCGGTTGATGATTGTGTTAATATTGTGGTTCCTATCTCTCCGCCTTAATATCTCTTATGTGTTTATCACCGATTGCTTAGATCATCGTTAGTGGTAGAACTTCTGGTTATGACACATTTTTCCTTCGCGTTTGTGTCTTTGCTTAACAACAATTAGACTAGCCGATCATTATTGTTGATTTCAGTTAATTATTCATGTTTTTTAATTCGTTCTACTGATTTATGTTTTAGCATGTTAATGATTTTAGGTTAGTTCGTTTGTTTTTACAGATATAGGGTCAGTTCCGCTAACTAATATAGTACTGATCTATCCAATGTATAAAATCAAAGACAGTACCACTTCTTGCCCAAGCCACTGTTGTTGTCCAGGATTTTGCAACTTGTAATTCTCCAAGCTGTCCATGTCGTATCCCTTGCTGTTGATGGAACGAATCCAGAGTCAAAAGATAAAGAAAGTCAGACATTTATTGCGTTAAAGCTTGACAAGTGTGGGAACTTGATAATGATGAGGCGGTCAGTTTCTTTCGTGGGTATTCACTAAAATTTTGGATTTTATGTAATTCATGTTACATGTATATGGGGAAACTTACACAACTATTTTTTTCATGTGCATCTCTACAAGTTACAACTGTAATACCTTTTTCTACGTTGGACATCTATTATTTTTCGTAGATGTTTATGTTTCAAGATGCTTGTATATTTTTAAACTTGCTGTCTATTTTATTTTATATAGATGTTGTAAAATGTTTGTCAAATCTATAATTAAAGTTTGAATTTAATGTTGTTGCTAGAAGTTGAGTGTGTCCTCTTAGCATTTCCGGTAGTATCCTTCCCAAATTCTTTTACGTTCTCCGCATATGCTAATCCATGGTTGACCAGTACGACACTAAAGTAATCAGCTTGAAGAGTCATGTGTTTTAGTAGTGGAACCACATACAACTTTAGCTTGTGCAAATGGACCCTCATCGCTAGAAACATATTCATTTCTCCGTCTGTGCAAATATGAATAGGGATTGGTTTCATGTTACCGTCATTGTCCATCCATTTAGGCATCTCATAGGTTAGCTCCACGTTTTTTTTTGTATTATTGATTAACATCTCCATAGTCTCTTTGGCTTGGACCGACTCCACCCTTCTCTTTCACGTAATTTTATCCCCTTTCAATAATACAAACTTCGACACACCATCACATTTTGTTTTTCCACCATGTTCTCCACGAGCGAAGCCGCTAAGTATGTCGATAAGAGTCACCATTGAAGTCAAACATGTTTCAAAGACATATATGTAACTGCATATATAGTAAAATTTCACACTATTTTTAACACCAAAATGGTGTAAACCCATTTTCTACACCAAAACCTATTTTTTTGTGTAAAACCCTCTCCTACTCAACACTATTTTTAACACCATTTTGGTGTTGAACTTTTTATAAAAAAGTCTTTCAAATTTTAATCAACTTTAAAATTAATAAAAACATATACAAATTGTGATATTTAAACCCAAAATCTAATATTTTGATAATAATTAAACAAAAACTTAATATATTTTGTTATTTTGTATGTTACAATGTATAAAAAAATAAGTGAGATTGATTTGTAAATTTTAAAGAAATGAAAAAGAGAATCTATTAAAAATATTCTATTTTGGTGTAAAAGTTGTTGTAAATTGTTGGAGCAAAATCCAACACCATTTTGATGCTCTAAGGTCAATAAGGTCACAATCGATGGCTAAATATTCTCTCCCTTGTAACAAAGTAAACTATTTTTGTCATTCTATTCGGTGCAAATACTCTAAAAAAAAAGTTAAGCTTTAATTAAACGTGTGCATACCAAATTGTGAAATAACAATATACAATCCAGCGACATGTAGTTATCAATCTCTTGACGAACTCAATAGTCAACATCTATGATTAGTTAATGACCTCGACTTTATTTTTCTTTTGCATAAATGACCTCGACCTTTAAAATAAATAATTGTTAGGTGACACGACCTTATTATACTTTATAAAGAAAATGCTTGTTGAAATCTGAAAATCTATTTTTGATGATATATTCAATCTTTTTATTTATATATTATGCCGAGCTTGCGGCTCGGTCCAAATAAAAAAAAATAAAAAAATAGACCTCTGCTTCTAAATGACCACTATATAAACGAATACATACTCATC